ATTCCCACCAACAGTGTAAGAGGGTTTGCTTTTCTCCACACCCTCTCCAGCATTTATTGCTTGTAGACTTTTGGATAGCAGCCATCCTGACTGGCATGTAATGGTACCTCATTGTGGTTTTGATTTGCATTTCTCTGATAATGAGTGATGTTGAGCATCTTTTCATGTGTTTTTTAGCCATCTGTATGTCTTCCTTGGAGAAATGTCTGTTTAGTTCTTTGCCCAATTTTTTGATTGGGTCATTTATTTTTCTGGAGTTGAGCTGGAGGAGTTGCTTGTATATTTTTGAGATGAATCCTTTGTCTGTTGCTTCGTTTGCTATTATTTTCTCCCAATCTGAGGGCTGTCTTTTCACCTTGCTTATAGTTTCCTTTGTTATGCAAAAGCTTTTAAGTTTCATTAGGTCCCATTTGTTTATTTTTGCTTTTGTTTCTAAAATTCTGGGATGTGGGTCATAGAGGATCCTGCTGTGATTTATGTCGGAGAGTGTTTTGCCTATGTTCTCCTCTAGGAGTTTTATAGTTTCTAGTCTTACGTTTAGATCTTCATATTTCATGTTTTTGTTCTGAATAGTTTATTGTCTTCCTGTGTGGTGGTGGGAATCAACTGGATTCTCAAATGAATGGAATATTTAGTTAAATAAATGTACTTGTCACAAACGAAGATAATCAGATGGCCATTTCCACAAACTTATTTTGAAGGGAGTAGGTCCTCTTTCATTGACCTAACTTCTTTGGAAAATATCATCTAATGAGCTACAATCAGGAGACACCTTTAAATATACCCAAGTATTCTGGTACATTCTTTGGCATTGCCTTTCTTTGGGATTGGAATGAAAACTGACCTTTTCCAGTTCTGTGGCCACTGCTGAGTTTTCCAATTTGTTCGCATATTGAGTGCAGCAGTTTAACAGCATCATCTTTTAGGATTTGAAATAGCTCAACTGGAATTCCATCACCTCCACTAGCTTTGTTTATAGTGATGCTTCCTAAGGCCCACTTGACTTCACATTCTAGGATGTCTGGCTCTAGGTGAGTGATCACACCATCGTGATTATCTGAGTCATGAAGATCTTTTTTGTATAGTTCTTGTGTGTATTCTTGCCACCTCTTCTTAATATCTTCTGCTCCTGTTAGGTCCCTACCATTTCTGTCCTTTATTGTGCCCACCTTTGCATGAAATGCTCCCTTGGTATCTCTAATTTTCTTGAAGAGATCTCTAGTCTTTCTGTTGTTTTCCTCTATTTCTTTACATTGATCACTGAGGAAGGCTTTCTTCTCTCTCCTTGCTATTCTTTGGAACTCTGCATTCAAATGGGTGTATCTTTCCTTTTCTCCTTTGCCTTTTATGTCTTTTCCTTTCTCAGCTGTTTATAAGGCCTCCTTGGACAACCATTTTGCCTTTTTGAATTTCTTTTTCTTGGGGATGGTATTTTTTTTTTTACACCTGTGCAAATCCTTTATTAAAGCAACAACCAAAGTACAGGATGGCTCTTTTTTTTTTTTTTTTTGCTGCTATATCAACTTAAATATTAATCATTTGTGTATACATTTAAATTATTTTTAAAAGGTGAACATTCATAGCTCACAAATCAACAGAGTGACACTTCCACCCAGATACATTTTTCCATCTTATTTCCCAGTTTTAACAATGAACATTCAGAACCAGAGGGATAGCACATCAAACGTAAGTGGCAGCACCTTCTGTGAGCAGCGCTAGGGTGTCTGAGAGATACACTGAAGGTTTACATTCTTCATTAAATAAAAACAATTTATGCAGGAATATTCTTAGACCTATTTGCTTTGTCTTTACATTCTCTATGAGCTTTAAGTTCGGTGGTGGCATTCTGAGCATTAGAGCCCTTACAAGTGACATCTCTAAAAGAGTCTTAATTACAGGTCATTATCACTGTCGTATGATATTTTCTTGTATGACAGACAGCCAGTCTTGCAGAAAGCAAAATAAGCAATGCTGTTTTATTTGATTCTTCACCCCACCATGGGTTTGTTTAATCCAAACCTTGCTAATCACTGTAGAAACCCTATAAGTCATTAGGAAGATGAACTTTGTTATCTACTAGAGGATTTTACAACGAATAGGTGAATGTAAAAATGACTAATACCTTGAAGATGATGGTGGTTTAGTTGCTAAGTTGTATCCAACTCTTTGCCACTGTAGCCCACCAGATTCCTCCATCCATGGGATTCTCTAGGCAAGAATACTGGAGTGGGTTGCCATTCCCCTCTCCAGGGGATCTTCCCTACCCAGGGGTCAAACTCACGTTTCCTGCATTGCAGGTGGATTCTTTACTGCTGAGCCATCAGAGACACCCTACCTTGGAAGCAACAGAGATCGAAATATGTGGGTGACTATACAATGAGATTTGGTGGCTATTTAAAGGGTACCAATGAATTAGTCTAAAAAGCAAGAACAGAAACAGGGATTATGATGTAAAGGGAATGCAAAAAGGGTGTGTGAAGATGGATCCTGGGCAGTCACTGAACTGTTTTGAGTATAAAACAGAGTATCTGAAAGATAAGCTAAATGCTCCGTTTTCTCACCCAATGAAATACCGAGAGGAAACCCCTGTTCACAGAACCACTGGGGCCATGAGGAATTTCAGCACTGGTGAAAAAGTGAAAGTGGCAGTCACACAGTTGTGTCCGACTCTTTGCGACCCCGTGGACTGAAGCCCGCCAGGCGCCTCTGTCCATGGGATTCTCCAGGCAAGAATATTGGAGTGGGTTGCTAGGGGATGGTCTTGATCACTGCCTCCTGTACAATGTCACGACCTCCATCCACAGTTCTTCAGGCACTCTGTTTATCAAATCTAACCCCTTGAATCTATTTGTTAAAGAAAGGCAATGACAAAGAATGTTCAAACTACCTCACAATTGTACTCATCTCACTCACTAGCAAAGTAATGCTCAAAATTCTCCAAGCCAGGCTTCAACAGTACATGAACCGTGAACTTCCAAATGTTCAAGCTGGATTTAGAAAAGGCAGAGGAACCAGAGATCAAATTGGCAACATGCATTGGATCATCGAAAAAGCAAGAGAGTTCCAGAAAAACATCTACTTCTGCTTTATTGACTACCTCAAAGCCTTTGACTGTGTGGATCACAACGAAATATGGAAAATTCTTAAAGAGAAGGGAATACCAAACCACCTGACCTGCCTCCTGAGAAATCTGTATGCAGGTTAAGAAGCAACAGTTAGAACCAGACATGGAACAACAGACTGGTTGCAAATTGGGAAAGGAGTACGTCAAAGCTGTATATTGTCACCCTGCTTATTTAACTTATATGCAGAGTACATCATGAGAAACACTGGGCTCAGTGAAGCACAGGCTGGAATCAAGATTGCTGGGAGAAATATCAATAACTTCAGATGTGCAAATGACACCACTCTTATGGCAGAGAGTGAAGAAGAACTAAAGAGCCTCTTGATGAAAGTGAAAGAGGAGAGTGAAAAAGTTGGCTTAAGACTCAATATTCAGAAAACTAAGATCATGATATCCAGTCCCATCAGTTCAGTTCAGTTCAGTTCAGTTTAGTCACTTAGTCGTCTCTGACTCTTTTCAACCCCATGGACTGCGCACACGAGGCCTCCCTGTCCATCACCAACTCTCGGGGGTTTACCCAAATTCATGTCCATTGAGTCAGTGATGCCATCCAGCCATCTCATCCTCTGTCGTCCACTTCTTCTCCTGCCCTCAATCTTTCCCTGCATCAGGGTCTTTTCAAATGAGTCAGCTCTTCGCATCAGGTGGCCAAAGTATTGGAGTTTCAGCTTCAACATCAGTCCTTCCAATGAACAATCAGGACTGATCTCCTTTAGGATGGACTGGTTGGATCTCCTTGCAGTCCAAGGGACTCTCAAGAGTCTTCTCCAACACCACAGTTCAAAAGCATCAGTTCTTCTGTGCTCAGCTTTCTTTATAGTCCAACTCTCACATCCATACATGACCACTGGAAAAACCATAGCCTTGACTAGACAGGCCTTTGTTGGCAAAGTAATGTCTCTGGTTTTCAATATGCTGAAGAAGCTTTAAAGTTTTTTGTTTGTTTGTTTCTTCATAAAACTCCTCATGTCAGCAGATCACTTCTGATTCATTTCCATTGAGCATTTTAATTTGCAAAAGTCTCACCTAAAATTACACTTCCGTGTGAGGGCAACTCCACTAACTCATTCATTATGATATTATCAATATCACTGAGCACACAAGTGCTGTGAATTCCTAGATGGCAGATAATAGAATGACACAGCCATGGCTCATCAGAACCTGAGATGAAAATTCTAAGATTTAATCTTCTGTTACTCTCAGGAGTATATTATAACTGAATAGAACAGGTAAACAATGAGCAAGCTATCATTAAATCAGAAGTGCCGGTTTCCACCAATAAGCAGTTAGACACATCTGAGTTTGAATTTCAACCCTATGACTCACTGATTACTTGAATGAACCCAGGTAAGCACTGAACCTCTCTGAGACTAACCAGAAAAAAAAAAAAAAAAAAAAAAAGGCAACAGAGCTATAAACCTGCCAAACAGCATTGAGGTAAGAAAGTGAAGTCGTTTGAGTGAGTGATTTATATGTGCTCACTGTTCAGTTTCTAAAGAAAAAAAAGTTTCTGGACTGTTTCTGCGTTCTATTTTATAAAGTCCAACCCTAACCCTTGGCTTTTCTAGCTGAACTTTCTCCTTCCTTCTCTGGGTCGGGGGGTAGAGGTGGGGGGTGAGGGGAAAGTTCTGGAGCGGTGAGCTTGTTTCCCATCTCTGTCCAGTGGTTTTCCAGTAGCCTCACCTCTGTGTTATTCAGTTGGTCACATTGGTTATCTTGTGTTTTAGTATCAGACATAGACCTATGTTTATTGGAGAAATAAAGCCTGTAAGTCCTTTCTTTAAGCTCTTCCTAAAAAAAAATATATGGCTGTATTTTCATGTCTATTTCCTGAAGTTTCTGATGAACCTTCAGTATGTTTTATTATTTTCCACAGATGGTGATTTCTCAGGGAAGAATAGAAAAGAGGAAAATTATATTTTTGAGTCAAAGAGCAATCGAGGAGGAGGGGAACACCCAGCCCCAGAAGCAGGTAAATGTTCATCTTGGAAACTCTTTGCAGGGTCAGAACAATTGCAGGACCATGTATCCTGTAGCTGAGGTTATTAAGCAAATTTACAAGAGTTCATGACAAGAACAGGGATCTATGGGTCGGAAAAACTGTAAATTCTCATCTGCTATATCACACTTCATCTTGGGGCTCTTGAACTAGTATCTTCACAGGTTTGGTCCTCAGCTTTCTGTTCTATAAGTTGACTGGAGTGGATGATCACTACAGTCCCTTTCCAGGGGTAACATTCTGTGGAATGAGTAATACTCAGGACACAGTGGTTAAGAACATGGGCTCTAGAATCAGATGCCAAGGTTTAGATCCCCTGTTCCATCACTAACTCCATGACCAAGTTATCTTCTCTCTCTGGGTCTCCATTTCCTCATTGGTCAGATGGGTGTAATAACTATACCCAGAGCTGTTAGGGAGAATAGATAGGACATCACTACAGAGCTTTTACCATATTGCTTGGCTCATGAGATAAGCCATATAAATGATGGCTATTATGACTGTTATTTGTGATCAACAAAGGCAGAGATGTTAGAGTATACAGTTCTTTCTCCAAGTGCTTCAGTGACAAGAGATGGAAGACACAGGAATGGAGAAAGGGTGCAGGAGGTAGAGGGGATATTTAGTAAGAAGAAGAAGAATACTGTAATTTCATGGTTTACCTAGGATTCCACAAATATACCAGAGGTTGAAATGCCATTAGTGTGTACTCAGCTCCAGCTCCTCTTGTCTTGGAGAGGAGGCCAGCTATACCTGGGAATGATTTTAAGCTCAGAAATTCAAAGCTATCCCAGGTGGCGCTAGTGGTAAAGAACCTGTCTGTCAATGCAGGAGACACAAGAGACTCAAATTCCATCTCAGGGTTGAGAAGATCCCCTGGAGGAGGGCATGATGACCCACTCCTGTATTCTTACCTGGTGAATCCCATGGACAGAGGAGCCTGGCAGGCTACAGTCCCTGGGGCTGCAAGAGTCAGACACAACTTAGTGACTAAAGCACCACCATCAGGAGTGAACTTCCTTGGTTACTTGCACCCAATACCTGTCAGTACCCACCCTTTCTTTTTTTTTCTTGGCCCCACTGTGCTGTATGTGGGATCTTAGTCCCCCAACCAGGGATCAAAGCCATGTCCCCAGCATTGGGAGCGTGGAGTCTTAATCACTGGACCACCAGGGAAGTCCCCCACCCTCTCTTCCTTCCCTCCCCTTTTTCCAAGGTCAGTATCCCGCCCTGACTTTGATAAGGACCTGTCAAAGTCCCTGATAAGGACCTTGCAGCTTCTTATCCCCTCAAGTTTGTTTTTCCATCATTTATTAACTCCCCATGTTTATAGTCTCCACTGGTTCATTCCCCTAGACACACTCAGCTCTCTCAAAACACACAGGAAACAAAACGGCATCCCTCAGCCTTCAGTCTCTCTGTAAATGAACTCCCAATTGCTAAGCGCAGTGGCCAGTCCAGGCATCACCTCTCTTGACCTCTCCTTAGCATTCGATTCTGCTGACCACTCTCCTCTTGAAATAGCCTCGGCCCTCTGCTTCCAGGACTGCCTGCTCCGTTGGTTGCCAGCCATCCCTCTGACATGTCTCTTTCTATGCTTCCTGGCTCTCTTCTTTGCCTGCCCTTTTAAGTGTTGATGTCTCCTAGAGCCTTGTTCCTGGCCCTCTTCTCTCTTCCCTTTCTCTCTGGAAGTCTCACCCAGTTTTGGAGCTGCAACCACCACCTTAATCCTAAAGGGCTTCACGTGTTTGTTTTTTTAATTTTTATTTGTTTATCTTACTTTGGCTGTGCTGGGTCTTTGTCGCGGTGCTCGAGCTTTCTCTAGTTGCGGTGAGCAGGGACCACCCTCTAGTTGGGGTGTGACGGCTTCTCCTTGCAGTGGCTTCGCTTGTTGCGGAGCACAGGCTCCAGGACACGTGGGCTTCAGTACTTGCGGCACACGAGCTCAGTAGTTGTGGTGTACGGGCTTAGTTGCTCCATGGCATGTGGGGTCTTCCCGGGTCGGGGATTGAACCTGTGTCTCCTACATTTGGCAGGCCGATTCTTAACCACTGGACCACCAGAGAAGTCCCAGCCTTTCATGTATTTAAGCCCAACTAATCAAAGAACCTAATAGAAAATTCTACCTGGATTGGCCTTAGGCATCTCACTATGAAACTGTCAAAATATAATCTCCCTCGCCCATTCCGAATAACCTCCATCATACATGTAAATCGTGCAAGCAAAAGTCCTAGGAATCAGATGCATGGACCACTCCTTTTTATATCTGCACTTCGTAGATAATTTTACCATAGTAACTATAATACTTTATTGTATCTTTTCATTTAAATGTCTTTCTTACCCAGATTTGAAGTCATTAGAAATCGATCTCATTTAACTTTTGAAGAAGTGGTATATATAGTGGTTCTGAAACCATACTGTCTGTACCATGTACCATACTTAGTCAAGTCACTTAATTCTTGATAACTTAGTTCCCTCATTTGTAAAATGGGGATAAAAATAGTACGAACTCATATGGTGGTTGTGGGAATTAAAGTACTTCATGTATAAAGCACTCTTTACTATCTTTGATTACCAGTGTCAGGCACATGACTATTAATGCAAAATGAATGAATAAATAAATGAAAGAAAGTATTATGAAGTCAGTTTATGCAGTAGAGATTTCGGCTCCTCTAGTTCCACCAGTTGGCAAGGCCCCTATAGCTAAAAATATTTCCACCATGCCATCTCTAAGCCTGGCCCGACTACAGAGCAGGTCGGACTAAGAATAGACCCTGCTGAGCTTGATAAGACAGACTGATCTGGGGTACACTCTGTTCCTTTCAGACTCCTGGATGGTTCTAAAAGATGCTTCTAGTCTAGGTGTCTAGGACCAACCCCACAGGGAAAGAACCCATGATGGACAAGTAGTGATTTTTTTGCTTACTTTTTTTTTTTTTAAGTATTTATTTGGCTGCACCAGGTCTTTGATGCAGCACCTAAACTCTTAGTTTCGGCATGTGGAATCTAGTTCCCTGGCCAGGGGTTGAACCCAGACCCCCTGCATTGGGAGCGCAGTCCTAGCCACTAGACCACCAGGGGAGTCACTTCCTCAAGCTTTTAATAATGGTTCTATAGGCTGAGAGTAGGTTCTCTGGCTTTAGGAAATAAAAATGTCTTTAAGCCCTAACCAGAGCAAGGAATCAGGAGTTCGTCCATATTTATTTTAATGAAGAATGATCATGTATGAATCCATAAAGCTACAATGATTTTTTGTAGGAAATATTACAATAATATTTCCTATGGCTACAGTGTCTTTGCAGTTGTCTGTTTACAGGATGTCTGTTAAAGTTGGATATAGGGGAGTCTGACTGCAACATCTGTACCCGCTGATGGCATATGCATTTCATAGGAACTTGCCACACAAGTTTTCTTTAAGGAAGTCTGTGTTTGAGACCTAGACCTTCAGTTTACAAGCTGTGTGCTCTTAGGCCAATTACTTCATCTTTCTGTACCTCAGTTTATCTGCCAGACAGGGGTAGTACAAGTACCTACTTGTAGTGTCAATAGTACTTGTAGTAGTACAAGTGCCTACTGAGTTGTTCTAGTGAAATAAAACAGTGCATGCAAAGTGCTTGTCATATAGTAGATTGTAGCTGTTATTGTTCTTAGTTACTGACTCACCCTTGTTCATTTCTGGCCTTGTGCAGGTGCAGTGCTTCCTCTGGCCCTGGGTTTGGCTATCACTGCTTTGCTGCTTCTCATGGTTGCCTGTCGATTACGACTGGTGAAACAGAAACTTAAACAAGCTCGTCCCATCACATCTGAGGAATCTGACTACCTCATAAACGGGATGTACCTATAAGAGTGGAATCTAAATAGCTGAGTGCAAGGACATGTTTCACTTAAAATTTATACATAGTTTGGGTCCTGATATTTATTACCTCTTCTGTTTTTAACTAAGCTAAGAAAACTACTGAAAACCCTGGAAGATTCTGCAAATATTCAACCTTTGTTTTTACGTATTGATTTTCCGTGGGAAGTATGTGACACATTTTGAAATTTAGGAGTCCACATGATTACAGACTTTTACAAATCTAATTCTGATATATGTAAGCTATCTCTAAAAATAGGAATTTGTAGTTAGCCAAGGCAGAAAATTCAGTGTCTCTAGAGGTGCCTGACAATGGCGGTGTTAACACTTTACTTTACAGAAGCCAGCCATTGGCACTTCATAGCACCCCGTGTCCCTTGTCCTGTGGCCTTCTCCTTCCTCATTTTCAGCTTCTAGTCCTCTCCTTTCCCTTGTCCTCTTCAAAACCTGTTTCTGGGGATGGATCTCAAGGGAGCACCCACCTTCAATACGTTATCCGTGGCAGGAATATCTAAGCTATAAGCCTAATGATCAGGTCAGTGAGGCCTGCAGGAAGGTAAATATCAGTTCTTTCCAATGGCTGACTGACATCATATCATGTGGCTGCTTCATTCTTCCAAAGGAGAGTAACTCAGACTTTGGATTACAAGTAGCTCTAACAGGGTCATCAAGTGAGATAGAAAATTAAAGCAGAAGCAGAGAACCTGGCAGGTCAAAAACTTAACAGACACTTAGCTGAGGGAAAAATGAGCAAGGAGGATGTTGAGTTCTTTCTTGGATCTCTGCTCAACACTGTTCAATGGTCCAGAACATAGCAGCTCACTTATATAGTCACTGGTTTTCAACATTAGTGTTGAAGAAAGAAAAAAAAAAACACATTCAAATGGAAAAACAACACTGAATGGATCTCTGGGTACAGCTTTTGCAAAAATAAGAGTCAGTGATTCATGAATAATCAACTTAAGAATTGGTGATTCTTCCATTCAATGGAGTGATGCAGTTTTTTCCCATTATTTATTTAATGCTCTAAAATGTTACAGTATACAAACAGCTAATGCCAGGCTTATATATTCCCAGAGCATAAGGGAGTTTTGCACAAATTCATCTTTATAGAAAACCAGCATCTAGCTTAGCATCTTTTACCTTTTAATCTGTAGGATTTTAAAGGCATATTATTTCCACCATTGCTTAATGCTGGGACAATACACATTCTAGAAATTACTCTACTGAGGCGAATGTATAATGTCTTCTATTTATATAATAGTTTTTTTTTTCCTTACCATAAGTGGTAAATCTTTTAAGATACTTGAAAACCCTCTAGAAAACTATGTTTAGACTGAACCTGATGTAGGTTGTTCCTTTAGTAAAGGACTTAATTTGGGTTGGAGATACACATTAAGAAATGGGTAGTTAGTGGTAGGAAAACAAAGAAATTGGTTATTTTTTATTTCCTGAGAAACTCGAGCATTTTGTTGAATTTTAGAATTGAGCAAAATTTCTCGTTAAGGAGTTTAGAGAAATGACTGTATGAATGAACTTAAGATGTTTGTATTCTTTATGTGATGCTGTGCAATTTGTTTTTATATAGAAGGATGTCACCTATAGCCATATCCAATAAAATGAAAACTGTTGAGGCATGCACCTTTCAGCACATCTTTTATACATGAAGAAATTAAAACACAATTTAGTATTGCTATGGTGTTGAAATTCTTGATAAAAAGATGTCCCATGTCTATGTGTACAATATTCTTTAATAAATTGTATTTTATTCTTAAGCCTTTTTTTTTTTTACAACTTTTAATACTTACTAGTACAGATGGTCTCCAACTTAATATGTTGCCCTGACTTACCTTTTTTTTTTTTCTTTATGATGGTGCAAAAGTGATACACATTCAATAGAAACTATACTTGAATTTTAAATTTTTTTCTTTGGCTAGTGATACGCTGTATATCTACTCTTGTGCCCCTGGACAGTGGCAGCACAGGTCTTCCCCGCCCCCCCCAAGAAAATATCATTTTTACTATGGATTGAAAACTGATACAATAGTGTTATCATGGAAATTTTGCAGCCTCTTTGATCCATAAGCTAATTTTTAGGCAAAATCCTGATAGGATAATCACCAACAAACCTAAATAAACAAATAGTGCTGGCAAAAGAAATTACTCCATGTGATGCAAGGCTGTAAGGGGCATAGTAATGTTCAAGGTACGGGAATTCAAATACAGATGTCCTCAGCTGCCCTAGGTCCCTGGATCGTTGCCTCTTGTATTAATACTTAAAGTATCCTAGTACCATCACCAGCCTGGATACTCCGCCCAAGTGAGAATGAGTTCTTTAGACCCAGCAGCCCTAGAACTTCCTCTCACGTTAGGAAAGAAAAAGGGAAGGAAGTGAAGGGAAAGGGAAGAAAAGCCGACAGGAAATGGGGGTGGGGATGGGGGGGTGGTGATGGGGTGGAGAGAGAATGAGGAAAGGAGGCAGGCTTTCAGGGCCCAGGAGAGCACTCTAGGAACTAAAGCAACGGGGCATGGAAGAGTCCTACCCCGGACAACACAGGTCGGTTAGAAAAAAAGAGCCTGAAGTGGGGAACCAACACGACTGCGGTAGCAGGGATAGTGGACGGATTAGGCATAGGGAAATTATCAGGCTTTCCCCCTCTTTATTATAATATATAAACAGAAACTTCCTTGGGCTCCAGGGGTCAACCAGTTTCTCTTCAAGCAGGATTTCTTAGTAGCACTCTATTTGGTCTCTTCTTTGAATAAAACATATGTAAATTAAAAGTTCATATAGTTATAATTCATTCATCTTTACCTATTAATAAATGGTGCTTGTTTAAGTCCACTCCTCTTTATTCAACATTTTTTAAAATCTTTTGGGTTTTTTTTTTTTTTTTTTGCCACACAGCATTTCGGATTTCAGTTCCCTGACCAGGGATCAAAGCCCGGCTCCTGCAGTAGAAGCTTTGAGTCTTAACCACTAGACTCCCAGGGAAATTCCTAAACATTTTTTAATTCAAAAAGTGTGAAGTCCAAGAGCAAGGCTTGGCATAGCATGTGTCTTTACCAATCAGATGCCACTTATTAGTTTGTCTTATCAGATTTATTAACTGTCCCCTCAACAGGACTGCAGACTACACACCCCTTGAGAGTAAGGGCCTTTTTCTATCCCCAAGACCTAACAAAGAGACTTAACATAAATTGTTGATAATGTCTAGGAAGGATACAGATGAGTGAATAAGTTGAAGAATTAATTTAAAGTCCTTGAGAATACTTGACCTTTGAAGCTATCGCAAATTGCAAGTCCTGGATCAAAAAAGTTCATGGCCAGAAGCAATACTAACCACAGCAAACTGAAGCCAGCAATGAACTCACAAGTTTTGGTTATCAACTAATGCAAGTTTTCTGTGCCTAAGACCTTGCCCAAGAAGAGACACTGGTCAAAGATGTATGTACAACTTTTTAAAGAAGTTTTTAAAGAAGTAATATTTTAGACTTTAACTTAAGAGGTGGGGGAAAGTTGCCTCAGCACCTCTCTAAGGCTCTGCCTGCCAGAATCATAAACACTTGCACACAACAGAGTGAAGGGCTTTGCTGAGAGTGCTGGTTCTGATAGGTTCTGGAACGGTTAAGATTTAGAGCCCTTAAAAAAACCAAGATCCTGCTGTAAAAGAGAAGATCACAACATTTAAGCGAGATCCCAATGTGTTACAGACTTAAACTCATTTTACAGTCGTTACATTAATAAATCTATTTGTAGGTCATAGATGGGTTTTGGTAAATTTATCCTTAATCTCCTCTTTCTTGACATCAAGTCAATTCATTCATTCATTCAGCTTATATGGTACATCTACAAGAGGCCCTGTGTTAGGCAAAGAAAAATAATAAATGAGGTGAAGTTCTTGTCCCCAAGAAACACAGTTACATTCCTCAAATGTGCAGTTAGATTAATGCTCTTAACTTACTCAGTTCTCACAAAATGGAGCATCAGAGAAACAACGTTTTCTCTGTGATCTTAGCATTCTGTACCTGATGGACATATGGTTCTTCTATATTCAAACACCACCAATGCCTCTTTCATTTTTAACTTTTATTTGGCAAAGCAGCACTGCATAAACTGTTCAGTAACTAGGACACAGCTTACACAGCATGTTAAATCCATATACATTATGAGCAGCAAGTTAGAAACAGAAAAAACAACACTAAGCTACAAGTCTCCTATCATTTTTAAAGAGAAAAAGGAAGAACTATGTCAGTTATGTCCAATCTGAACAGCCAAGTGTTTTAAGGGACATCACCTGCCATCTCCTTAAGTTTTAATATTTACAAATGCTTAGTTTTAAGGTAACAAAGCAGCTGATTGTATCTACAACATGCTATTCTATGACACCACATCAAAGCTTTAAAAAAGGAAGCTCATCTCTATTTTCTTAGTAGCATCTAACATATACCCAAAAACCAAGAATCTCAACTTGTGAATGGTGGTGTTATCTGCTGCACAAAAGCAATTCGATAAATTAACATCAGAACAGAATTAAGTGCCTAAGAAAAGTCACTCCTCAAAATCAATTCACAAACCATGTTTTCCATTTTGCAGAACCCCTTCTTTTAATATTTAAAGGAAAACGTGGGCATGTTAAAGTAATAATACACAAATTTATATTTTTCATCCTTCTTCTTTCCAATCTGGCTTCTGTGCCTCTCTGAAGAATTAGAAACCCCACAAATCCACACATTTTCATGCTGAAAATAGTGTAAGAAAGTTCAAAACAAGCTGTGATGCTGTTGATTTTCAAAAGCTTTGAGGACTGAGATGAGCAATCCACTGTAATATTATTATACTGGTCAAGCTGATGTTGCTTTTACAGTTCATCCCTGGGGGGAGAAAGAGAGAAATATATAAGTAGGAATTACATATGATAAAACTTGGCTTTCTAACAGTTTAGATACAACTAATAAATCAGTAAAAATATACTGATCCCCAAGCAATATATTACATTGAAAAAAAGCAAAAACAAAAAAACCCTAAGCAAATGATTGAGGTCAAAGCAGAAATGGAAATCAGCCATTTCAAACATTGTTCATGCTACTCCAGAATGAATAATGAAAACTAAAGGGCCTGAATTCTTTATTTTTTAATTCAAAAGTAATTTTCTTCCTTCAAGACCAAAAATTCAGAGAAATGATAACTTTTAGATCCAGGATCTTGCTAATACTATTTATTGTAAAATAATAACTTGAGTATTTAGAGTTCAGATAAGTCTTTATAGTTACATTCACAAAACTGGACAAAAATTTAGTCTTTTGTTTAGAGTATCTGTTGAGTATATTGTTGAGCAATCACTGAGTGGGTCAATCTCAACCCAAACTCTGTGAGAAAAAGCATCACCTGTAGGTATAATATACCTGTCAGCTGATTTCATAAGGCAGCTTTATCAGCTCTAAGAGAAAGCATTTGCTCAGCCAGGTGCAGCACTGTACCAGCAACTGCCAGTGAGAGGAGGGAAGGAACAAAAATGCAGTCTAAAGTAAACAGTATGGTACATAAATTATACCTCTTAATAAAGTTGCTAAAGGTGAAAAAATAAAGCTACCAGAAAAGCTTCTTATTTGAGGATAACCTGAGGAACAAGCAACACTGTTAAATATTCAAGTACTTTAGGGGTAAAGAAGGATGATGTTTGCAACTAAATATCAAATGATTCAGGGGAAAAAAAAGTTACATATGTGTGTATGTGTATGTGTGTATATATATATAGAAAGGGAATGAAAAGGAATGTGGAAAGTGTTAATAATTGTTAACTCTGGATGAAGAGATTCAGGAGCTCTTTGCACAATTCTTGCAACTTGTCTGTAACAAAATTTTTTTTATGTTTTAAAAAGCTATTAAATAAATTTGAAGGGAAGATAGATAAAGAGCTAAAATTTCCCAGGTACGTGGTGAATTAAGGGATTTTTGGACAATATGGTATTTTCTATAAAATATGAATTTTATAAATTGTGCAAGAAAATATTTTAAAAATGATTTCTCCCATAAGCTGTCTTTGTCATACAGTACTGAATTATCTGTTAAATGATAAGTTATCAGTTCTGGCTCCTCTTAATATATTCTTCCAAATAACATAAGTACTATAGTTCTCATACAGTTTTTACTGAAGTTCATGCAATTAAAGAGTTTACTTGCAAAATGCTCTATTCATAAATTTACTTGTGCTTTTTAAAATATGAATTAAAAATACTATTGTTTTTTAATAATTTTACCACATTTTATTGACCAGTTGCAAGGTACTAAGGATTTTGTCAATAGATATCCTTATTGCCCAACAATATAGTACAACATTTCTAAATATCCTCTCCATTTAAAAATTTTTTTGAAAAGGGAAAAGGATTAAAAACTCTCAACAAACTGGGTATAGAGGGAACGTACCTCAACATAATAAAGGCCACATATGACAAGCTCACAGCTAACATCATTCTCAATGGTGAAAAACTGAAAGCTTTTCCTCTAAAATCAGGAACAAGACAAGGATGCCCACTCTCGCCACTTTTATTCAACATAGTACTGGAAATCCTAGCCAGAGCAATTAGGCAAGAAAAAGAAATAAAAGGCATCAAAATCGGAAAGAAAGACGTAAAACTGTCTTTTTGCAGATGATAACTAACTAAAATTAGTTGTTTCTATATACTAATAATAAACTATCAAAAGAAAAATTAAGAAAACAATCTCATTTACAATTATAGCAAAAAGAATAAAATATCTAGAAGTAAATTTAACCAAGGAGGTGAAAGAGTTGTACACTGAAAACTATAGAATGTTAACGAAAGATACTGAAGATGACACAAATAAATGTAAATATATTTCGTACCCATGAACTGGAAGAATTAATAGTTAAAATATCCATACTACCCACAGTAATCTACTGGATCACTACAATCCCTATCAAAATTTCAATGACATTCTTCACACAAATAGAACAATCCTAAAATCTGTATAGAACCACAAGAGACTCCAAATAGCCAAAGCAATCTTTAGAAAGAACAATAAGACTGAAGGTATCACACTTCCTGACTTCCAACTATATTACAAAGCCAAAGTAATCAAAACAGTATGGTACTTCGCATAAAAACAGACATAGAGACCAATGGAACAGAGTAAAGAGCCCAGAAATAAACTCATGCATATATGGTCAATTAATTAGGAGCTAAAAATATATGATGAAGAAAGAACAGTCTCTTCAATAAGTGGTGTTGGGAAAACTGGACAGCCACATAAAAATGGAACGAAACTGGACTTCTATCTTAACACCACATCCCCAAAAATCAAAATGGATTAAAGACTGGAATGTAAGACCTAAACTTATTGTGATGATCATTTTGAAATATACCAAATCACTATGTTGTACACCTAAAACTACTACAATGCTATATGTCAATTATATCTCAACAAAACTGGTGAAAAAAAAATCATACCGTTAAAAAATATTTAATGATGAGGGACAATGTTGATGATATTTTATTAAATAAAGAGAGATTACAAAATAAAACTATGATCTCAGGACTACAAGAAATGTATATACTTCTATGGATATAGAGAAAAGAAGAAAAAAATCTATAAAATGTTAATAAGAGGTGATCTCTAAATTCTGGGATTATGGGTGACTTTTATTCTTTTGTGTTTGTTTTTTCCTATTTTTACAATGCATGTACATTACTTTGATAGGAACAGTACTGTGGAAACCAAATAGAAGGCAATTTATATTAACAGTATCCCCCCTCCCCCAACCCACACACACACACACAAAAAGGAAAAGAAATTAAGTTTACAGATCTGAATTATAACATATTAAGGAAATTATTTAAGGTGTTAAGGAAAACCAAAAATTTGCTGCTATGGCATGTATAACCTTGTCACATCCTACGACTCCAAAATCTATTAACCTTCTTAATTTTTCCTAATATTTAAAATTCTACATAACCATATTTTTCTTTATCTGACTTACATGCATAGATCATTTAAAATAAAAAATAGTATGTACTAAATTTCTACAAAGGTTCTTTAAAACTGCTATATATGTGCTAATATTAATTAGATTCAGTTCAGTTCAGTTCAGTTGCTCAGTAATGTCTAGTTCTTCATGACCCCAAGGACTGCAGCACGTCAGGCTTCTCTGTCCATCACCAACTCCTGGAGTTTGCTCAAACTCATGTCCATCGAGTCAGTGATGCCATCTAACCATCTCATCCTCTTTTGTCCCCTTCTCCTCCCACCTTCAACCTTTCCCAGCATCAGGGTCTTTTCCAATGAGTCAGTTCTTCACATCAGGTGGCTGAAGCATTGGAGTTTTAGCTTCAGCACCAGCCCTTCCAATGAATATTCATGATTGATTTCCTTTAGGATGGACTGGTTGGATCTCCTTGTAGTCCAAGGGACTCTCAAGAGTCTTTTCCAACCCCACAGTTCAAAAGCATCAATTCTTCAGCACTCAGTGCTCTTTATGGTCCAACTCTCATATCTATACATGACTACTGGAAAAACCATAGCTTTGACTAGATGGACCTTTGTTGGCAAAGTAATGTCTCTGCTTTTTAATATGCTATCTAGGTTGGTCATACCTTTCCTACCAAGGAGCAAGCGTCTTAATTTCATGGCTGCAGTCAACATCTACAGTGATTTTGGGGCCTCCCAAAAGTAAAGTCTGTCACTGTTCCTCCATTGTTTTCCCATCTATTTGCCATGAAGTGATGGGACCGGATGACATGATCTTAGTTTTCTGAATATTGAGTTTTAAGTCAGCTTTTTCACACTCCTATTTCATCAAGAAGCTCTTTAGTGCTTCTTCACTTTCTGCCATAACGGTGGTGTCATCTGCATATTTGAGGTTACTGATATTTCTCCCGGCAATCTTGATTCCAGCTTGTGCTTCATCCAGTCCAGCATTTTGCATGATGTACTCTGCATATGTTAAATAAGCAGGGTGACAAAATATACAGCCTTGACATACTCCTTTCCCAATTTGGAACCAGTCTGCTGTTCCTTGTCTGGTTCTAACTGTTGCTTCTTGACCTGCATACAGATTTCTCAGGAGGCAGGTCAGGTGGTCTGGTATTCCCTTCTCTTGAAGAATTTTCCACGGTTTGTTGTGATCCACACAAAGGATTTGTTGTAGTCAATAAAGCAGAAATAGAAGTTTTTTTGGAACTCTCTTGCTTTTTTGATGATCCAACGGATACTGGCAATTTGATCTCTGGTTCTTCTGCCTTTTCTAAATCCATCTTGAACATATGGAAGTTCACTGTTCACATACTGTTAAAGCCTGGCTTGGAGAATTTTGAGCATTATTTTGCTAGTGTGTGAGATGAGTCCAATTGTGTTGTAGTTTGAACATTCTTTGGCATTGTCTTTCTTTGAAATTGGAATGAAAACTGACCTTTTTCAGTCCTGTGGCCACTGCTGAGTTTTCCAAATTTGCTGGCATACTGAGTGCAGCACTTTAACAGCATCATCTTTTAGGATTTGAAATAGCTCAATTGGAATTTCATCACCTCCACTAGTTTTGATCTTAGTGATGCTTCCTAAGGCCCACTTGACTTCGTATTATTTAGATTAGATTATTTAGATTGCTTATTTAGTTTCATATTAATTGGATTAATAACTATATGTAACATATTACTTTACTGTATAATAAATAATTATACACATAATTATTAGGCTAATAACTGTAAGACACTAATATTTAGTATTTTATATTCTTTATCAAGAACAACTGAAAATATGTACTGTCAGGAAATAACAATCAAAATCTATGAATGTTTTCTAATTAATGGGCTTTCTGAGGTAATACAAGCTTTGTACAATTAACTTTGTGCAAAGCATTATGAAAAGACATAAAAAGAATTCCAAAAGTAACAATATATCCTAGCCTTTAAGAATGCAAAGTTTATCATAATGCTGTGTAACACATGTAAAGAAATTAAAAAGGGACACTATAGAACAATCTGGAACACAGGATCAATTGGATAAAGAAATTAAAAAGGGACAGTATAGAAACAATTCAGAACACAGGATCAATTGGACCTATACCATCAATCCTAGAAATGCCCAGTCAGTTCAAAACATCCTTTTCATGAATACATGGCACTTTAAGAAGATATAGACAAAGTACCTATGGAACAAGAACCCTGAAACATTCCTCTGTTTCAAAAAACAGAGATGGACTTATTCCATCGACCCTTGTGGCTATTAAAAACAGAAATAAAACTTACCAGAAGATTAACAAAATGTTGATTTCTAGGTATGTAAAATAAACATGTATGTATAAAATAAAATATAAATAAATATTTGCATTTAGTTAGTTGCAACCAACTAATGCAACTATTACCTATCTATAGTCTTGAACATAATACCACAGATTTTAGGCCTACAGCCTATCTATCTGGCATTCTCTCTCCTTTAATTAATCCATCAGAATTGCAAGGAATATTTTTCCAAGTATAAGGGGACAAAAGTCTACATTCAAATTTCCGGGTTTATCTGACATGAAAATTCGGCATGCCCACTAAGTCCTCTCTCTTTTTCTTTTTCCCCATCTAGTTTCTATCACATCTTTCCAGCAAAGATTGGATCTCACTCTCACAGAGCACTCGCCTTAGCTTTGGATGCCTCAATTAGAGAAGGATGGAAAGCAGGTGAGAAATAAGGGAATATTTCTAAGAAAGCACTGGGATGAGTCCTTAAATTAATCCTGAAGAAAAAAACCATCTAGCCTGACAAGAAACTGACTTAGGAAGCTTTTTACATAATTACCATGTGAGATGAGAAAATATAAGTGACTTTTTAATCACATTCTATCCTTACCACCACTGCTTTAATTCAGCCCACCATCACCACACCCCTGATTTGCTATAGGTATCTTCTATTTCTGGCTATAGCTTTATCCCCCCTTCCAATCTACTCTCTACCCTACTACCAAAATTCTCTTTCTGAAATGGAATTCTGACCCCTTCACTGCCTGGCTTGAACAACTGCTCCCTACCACCCTCAAGCCAGAGTTAACACACTGCTAACGGCCTGTTGGTCTCGTTTACTGGATCCTCTACCTAACTGTAAGTTCTACTAGAATAGTCAGTTTCAAATTCACAGCTGTGTATTCCTGGCCCTGCAGCAAGGCCCACACAGTGGGCACTCACACACTTGTTAAATTAATGATGTATTAGAAGGTCATCACACTGAAGATGCTTAACAAATTTAACAGAATTGCCAAAGAAAAGTATTAGATACTGCTTTTTCAAAGGCAATTTAAAACAAATGCATTTTTTTTTTGCCTGTCAAGGACAGTTTAAGCATAGATTAGCCTGATGGCAGTAGAAACAGGACGTATAAAAACTAGACACCTTCTCAAATCTCTTTCATACCTAAATTTAAAAAGAAGCAGAGATACCTGCTCCATGGGAGGAAAGCGGAAGGAAGGAGGTGGTGAGAGCTGACTTCAGACTACATCTGGCTGAGGACCTCTTCCTCTCTGACTTAAAGTTAAGTCTGTCTGCTGTGATGCCCTGGTAAAGAGAAGAGGGCAGCGGCAGAGAGAACTGAGGTGACGCCTACATGTGGGAGCAGCTGCTTCGCTCTACAGCCAAAGCTCCTGTCAGAGACCCCGGCTCCCCACCCGGTCTCTGCTCTCAGTGGGTTCCAGTAAAATCGTTTCCTCACCTTTAGGTCTAGAGAGGTAACAGCTTCCTACTATCACCTTGGAAATCCCTGGTCCCTGGCTATGCCACATCCTTCACCGGTTCCCATAACTTTTCCCATGTTTCTTTGAATAGTCCCTTCATTAAAATCACTTCAAAATCCTGGCTGAGCACACTTGGACCTTGACTGACAATTTATGAACACAAAAAGGAATAGCAGATGAAGGGTCCCTTAAGATTTTAAGTTAACCGTTGATGCTTTACTCTTTCAAACATTCTATTTTCTAATAATTTCTTTCAGCACAAATTTAACGTCAGTTTTTTTTTCAACTTCATTTCCAGATTCTGTTTTATATTCTTTAAACTTCATGATTTATAGCTAAGCAACTGATTACCTCTGTAATTATAACTACATCTTTGGATGTAGGAAAATGTGTTTGAAAAGATAGTAAATTTGCAATAGAAAAAAATAGAAAATCCTCTTAGTACAACTGGAGAAAAGTTTCCTATGTGCATACATGTAAAATTGCTCAGTATTCTAAAAAGTTGAAGGCTAAAAAGAAAACCAAGTATATATATATTTAAATATTTGGTAAATGAACAATTGTCCATAGATTTAAAAATTATTCTAAATTTAATACAAATAGTTTAATCTTATCAGGGGTAAAATACAGTTAAGTGGAAGCCTGAAGCTTATATAATTGGGTAAGGGTGGGGGCGGGTGAACTGCTTTATGAAGGGGAAAAAAAAAAGGTAAACTAAAAACGAAGCTATGTATATAAAATGTGGTATAAGGCCATGACTGGCCCAAAGGAAGTGAGGGCCCAGAAACTTAAGTTTCATTACCTTCAAGCTAAATCTACTTCTGCTTATAAAAACAAAACTCGTTTTGTATATATCTGGTTATAGAAACAAAAAGCACTCTTACCTGAAACCCCACTTCAGTAATATCAGTGATATGTTTGCCGCATTTATAGAGCAGCAATCATAATATTTTGTAATTATATAGCCATACTAGAAGCAAAGTGAAGGAAGTTTGAAACTATATCTGATTCTAATTGACAAGACTGCTAGCTTTTAAAAAAATTTTTTTAAAGAAGTGGCTGTACTCCAGGTTAGAATTCAAAGAAAACAGCTATAACTACATGGTGAAGTGAAAGTCGCTCAGTTGTGCCCAACTGTTTAAGACCCCATGGACTGACTATACATGTAATTCTCCAGGCCAGAATACTGGAGTGGGTAGCCTTTCCCTTCTCCAAGGGATCTTCCCAATCCAGGAATCAAACCCAGGTCTCCTGCATCGCAGGTGGATTCTTTACCAGCTGAGCCACAAGGGAAGTCCTTAACTTTATTAACAACTACATTAGGTGAAGAATTAATAAGGATTAACAGAAATGGCCAGTCAGAATTAATCAAAAGTAAAACTCAGTTTTGAACAAACAGAGTCAGATTCATTACCACTTTTGCTGTTAAACATTCATTAAAAAGGTATCTTTCCTCTTTCCAGAAAACAAAATTGAGAGGTCTATGAAGCCTGGTGTGTTGCAGTTCACGGGGTCACAAAGAGTCAGACACTACTTAGCGAATGAAAAACAACATTAAATCTATAATTGCCATTTTACTTATTAAGAAATCATCTTAAAATAAGTACCTCTGTCAAGTAAAAACAGATTCTAAAACAAGGAAACAGTGAGACCTTTCTTATTTTGGCAGGTAATTTCAAGTAGTCTTAGCTAATGTCTTACTTATGGATCTCACTCCCTCCCCCTGGAGAGAGTGGGCAGGGGCAGAAGGAAGACAGGAAACAGAAAGCTTGGCTTCAAAGGGAATATCCAGAGATGCTGAGACACAGAAACAAAAGTGGGCATTAAACGAGCCATGCTGTGCTGAAGACATGCCGCATGCTGTTGACCCTTTGGGTGGGTGTGTGAGACCTGGGCACTCACAGAACCCCCTTCCCTCCCCACGGACTTAGAAGAGCTCAACAACTGGCCAGTCTATTGTGTAAAATGGTAAGCTTCTTCCTTACTATGGTTCTGAAATAACAGCAGGATATAAAACAGGCACAGGTTGTCAGGCATCTATGAAACTGATTGAAAGAGAGAAGTCAAGCTCAGAGCAAGAATGTCCTCTCTGGCATTGACACCTTCGAAAACTGGGACAAGAGTATCTTTTCCCTTCTCTTTCTTTACAACAATGCTATAATAGAAGATGAACTATGGCAGGAAATGATCCCTTCTCTTCAGATGAAAGCCTTCATTTCCATGACCATATAGCAGATATAAAAATTAGTTGTCAATATAGAAACAGAGTGGCTGATAATAAAGTAAAATTTAGAAAGCGTGACTGACAGCCTCTTCAAAAAGAAAAACGCCTTTGGGCCAACCAAGTCTCACCCCCCTTTCCCAAAGATGAGTTAAATCAAAAGAAGGACAGACCATGCAAAACTTTTCTACATTTTTAATGTAGTGAATTTCTGATATTAAAATGGAGTAGCATAAAGGTGACAACCAAAAACGCAGCTCTTGCAGTCTGATCTCTGAACATCCACACCCTTTCACCTTGCTTGTGTGGAAGAAGAAAGAGCAGAAGATAAAATCACTTCCACCTGGACCACTGCTTTTCTTTATCTGTTAAAGGCACATATATCACTCCCATCAGAGGCTTCATTTTGACACTGCCATCTTGCAGCTTGTCATACTGCTCCAACATCTGGTTTCCACCTGCAGGACCAACTGGCAATATCAATCTTCCACCAGGCTTTAACTGGTCTATTAACTAAAAGAAAGAGAAAAGGACACACACACCAAGTTATAGATTTTTTATTAAGAGTCATTTTATATCACTACACACAACTTTCAGTGTCCATGGGCAGAAAGCAAAAATGTACCTTATTTAAGTGCATACATTCTTCCATTGTTAAACTTTTTGTTCAATTACTCACTTACTCATTTACTACTGACCTCCTCTACTACAGTACAAATTCTCTGATGACAGGAACTGTGTCTTATTCATCTTTGTGCCCTTAGCATCAAACACAGTACCTAGTACAACTGCAAAGCTCAAAATGTTTGAGTTGAACCACATAATATGGACTATCCTCTTGAGAAGACCAAAGGCAAAGCAGAAAATTTCAATTCCTGTATGCCTGTTATCAATCTTTGCAGTTTGGGAGGGAAGAGGGGAAGTGAAGACAATCAGCAAGGAATCCCTATCCTATCTAAGAATTTAAGGCATCACTGAACCAGAGATAAGGGAACTCCGGTTTTATGACTGAATTTAGGATCACAGGCAGCATGACGTGATAAAGGAAGGTAGGGTTGGGGTCCCTGCAGCATTAGAATGAGGACGCCCCTTGTCAATGAAGAACCAAAATTGCTCAGTTAAAGCCCCTCTGGTTAGAAAATTTTTAAGTCACATGTTACAATGTCAATGCAGCCTGAAAGATGATCATCAATCAAAAACAGTAAGGAAAAAACCTTCCCAGAGAAGGGTGTCCTTAATTAAAATTCTGGTTGTCAGCAAGTCTTATGTTTTCCCTTTTAATTCCTCTAAATGTCAAGATTTTCAATGAAAAAATAGGCTTCTTCCCTCTCTCTCAATCTTGCTCCTTTAATCCATTAATTTTAAAACCTTTTAGCTGTCTTTTTTTATAGTGCTTACTTCTAAAGCATGTCATTTTTTTTTAACTGAAATATAATTGACATATAAACACTGTGTTAGTTTTAGGTGTACAACATAATGATTCAACATATGTATATAATGTAAAATGATTACTACAATAAACTTAATTAACATCTATTATCACACATAATTACAATTTTTTTCTTGTGATGAAAACTTTTAAGGTTTACTCTCTTAGCAACCTTTAATTATATAATATAGTATTATTAACTATAGTCAATATAGTCAATAATTAACATAGCATTAACTATAGTCACCATGCCGAATAACATTTCCTTTTCTACTTCAAATTATATGCCAGATGAGGACTAAGGTCTCATACATAAACATTTGTCCCTCAGTATCCGAGGGGGACTGGTCCCAGGACCTTATCTCTGATACTAAAATCCACAGACATGCAAGTTCCTTATAGACTATGGTGTAGTACCTCCATATAACCTATACATCCCATGTACTTTAAATCATCTCTAGATTACTTATTACATTTAATACAAGGCATATACCATGTAAACAGCTGCCAGGTACAACTTCAAACTGCAACAACAAAAATTCAACAAAATTTTTTCTGAATATTTTCGATCTGTGATTGGTTGAATCCTTGAATGCGGAACCCTTGGATACAAAGGGCCAGCTGCATTCTGCTTCTTTCCCCTAATCCAACCAATATCATCATTTTTTATGAAAACCATTTTCTGTTATGACTGTGTAAACATAACTTGCAGCTGAGCCAAGAGGTACTCAGTTATTGTTTCCTTTCTTATAGAATAGTTGTTTTCTCTGCAGTTAAAAACTGAAGCTTTTTCTTTTTTTTCACTCACTTAATTTTCTTTGTAACTGTTTCTCCCAACAGCTTCTTGATGAAATTTTTACACAGTCAAATCTATTTATAAGCACCTTCCTTTTTTCTTTTACTTCTTTCTCTTTTTTTTTTTGTAGGCTCCCTTCTAGTTCTTTCCCTCCTCTGCTCTAAATCTGGACTGGTTAGTCTCCGGGCCTGCTGCATAGCTGTCATACCGGGACTTCCCTTTGCCACAATACTGGCAACTCTGACCATTTCTCTCCTGAACAAGCTGTCCTACCTTCCTAGACGCCATGGCTGCTGCTTTCTGGTTTCTCCCACTCTCTCTCTATTCCCTCATTTTTTGATGACATTTAAAGCAATTCCTCCAGAAGTATTCTGTGAAACAGTATGTGGAATACTTTTAAAGAGATTTAGATTTGCAAGTCTAAAATTATCTTTCTTCTATGTATTTACTGATATGTGCAGGTACAGGATTCAAGACTGGAAACTGGAAATCATATTCAGTTCACAATTGTGATGCTTTGCCTCTGACTTGTTCATTGTAATGCTGCTTATCTACAGATTGATGCCTTTCTAATTACTGACCCTCAATGAATGATCCATTTTGTTTTTCTGGAAACTTTTAGAATATTCTCTTTATAACATTCTGAAATTTCATGGTGATACTGTGGGTTCCCCCCTTTTAAAAAATTCATTATACTAGGTACTCAATAGATGTTTAATTTAAACTACAGAATCATGTCTTTCAGTTCTTGGAAATTTTCTTAGGGCTAATTGTTCCTCATAAAGAATTTCAAGCAGCAGCTCCTCTTTTCAGGCCACAATGTCATCTCTGGTTTCCAAGGTCCTGATGCCTCCAGTTTTTAAGCTTTTGCTGAGTTCTGCAAAACAAACGGCCTATACACTGGTACTCCCCTCTGCAGTCTCTTTGGTTCAGCTTCCTCCACCCTTCCAGGTCTGTTATTACTTCATCTGCTTTTCTGTCTTCATACACTGTAGCATTCAGGACTGTTAAGTATAATCTCCTAGATAACTGAATACAGAGTTTCATATTTCTTGTTTCTTGTTTTTCTAGCTGTTATGAGGTGGTATCCAAAGGAGGCATAAACATCCTGACTCTATTATCTTAAAACTGGAAAGCCCCTCCAGCATGTATGTCTATCTTCAAATTTAATCAGATGTAAAGAGCCACCCCCCAAATAATACTCCACCTGCAACTACAAATGTTCAAATTCATACCGAGCTAAAGCCAGAAATGCCCTTCAAGATCATCTTAGGATCTTAGTAGGGAAGATGAGTCCCGTCCCCAAGAATCTTTCATTTAAACACATTTCTATTTTATATTTTAATTGTTCCTCCTAGGTTTCCAATATTTTCAAAAAACAAAAAAAGTTTAAGAAGTTAAAAAAAAAACCCTACTGATGTGTTCGGATATGAAAATTCATTATTTACTTATGACTTGTACAACTTTCTACATCATGTTAATACTTCTGTTAAAAACTACTAGTTTGGTCTTTTTAAAAAAATAGATAACAGGGCCAGAGAGAATAGTTCATTTTCCTAAAGTCATTCAGCCAATGAGTAACAAGTCAGTAATCAGAGCAAATCTCCAAACTTTCAACTCCTCATAACTGTGTAAACACACACAAAACTACGTCCAGGTTGGGGAGTTAATGAGACTGGGCAAAAGAGACAGAGTCAATTTTAGCCCCTTGTCATCTAGTTAAGAACTGTGTAAAAATTACATGTAATAGAAATCTAAGCCAAGGATTATTTGGGCTGACATAAGTTTATCAGAGTCTTACTAAAATGAAAACTCACTTTTGTACTTAAATATTTCCTTGACTATGTAAGACACACTCCTGGAATATCCTACCTTCTCATTGCACCTATGCAAATTAAGATTTCTTTCTTTCTTCCTACTATTCTTTAAGATTCAGTTCAAATTTTATTACTGTATGAAATCTCCTTCACTATTCTATACAACATACTACCCTTCCTCTGAACTCCTACAGTGCGTATTTTCTTTTCCCTTCAATATCTATCATATGCTGACGATATGCTATCAAATCATTCATTTCTCTGACATATGTACGATAGATCTCTTTTAGTAAAGTCAGTGAGGATAAGATGTATGACAAATACTTCCTGGTCTTACCCATGCACCTAACATAGTCTTGTACATAACACACCAAGTGATTACCAGGTCATGAACTCCAGAGGGATTTTCCCCAATTTTACTGGTGTACTAGTTCTTAGTTGAATCAAATACTGCTCGAAATAAGACAGTCACGAGCTGTGGCTTAGTCATCTTCATGTCATTTATACAACTGTTTGTATATGAAAAAAACTGCCTACTAACTAATTAAAATACACAGCTAATTAAAATTAAAATTCAATTTAAAAAATTGAGCATAATTATCAGCCAAAAAAAAAAAGGGCACAATGTAACATAGATGGTATTTTCAACATCAACAGAAGTCATTTCCTATAAATGTTTAAGAGCTTTAATTGAATGAGGTAGACAAACACAGGAAAAAAAAACAACTCACTGCCTGGGGCACAACTGGGGCTGCAGCTCCCACATGAATAGCATCGTAAGGGGCTTCTGCGGCATATCCCATTCGTCCATCCCCCACTGAAAGAAAACAGTGCTGTAAACACCTGTTCTGACAGAATTACCCAGCGTGAAGAATTATAGGAGGTTTAAAGTGGCGAAAGGACAGATCTTTTTAAAATCACTTAACTAAGTGATGCTGGGACAATGGATAATTCAAAGAAAAAATAGACACTTGGAACCCCACACCTCACGAATACACAAAAATGAACATCAAAAAGATCAAAGGTCTAAATGTAAAAAGTTAAAATGGTAGTACGTCCGAGAAATAATTCAAGGATGTATCTTCATGATTTCAGAGTACCTTAAACAGGATACAAAAAACACTGCAAGAAATGGGCAAGTCTGGCTATATTAAAATTAAGAATTTTTAATTATCAAAAAGAACAGTAAGAGAGTAAAAAGACAGATCACAGAGTGGGAGAAGAGATTTACAATATGTATAAATAGACAAAAGGTTAGTGTATAAAAGTACTACAAATAAAAGAAAAATATAAATAACTCAATATCTGAATAGACATTTCACAAAAGAGGAAATCCAAATGGCCAAACATATGAAAAAGTGTTCAACTTCACTGATTAATATTAAAACACAAAATTAAAACCACAGAGATACTACCATACACTAAGTGGGTGAAGAGAAAAATTTAGTCATCCCAAGTATTGGGATTGTGAGGTGAAGCAATAGGAACCTTGATATACTACTGATGGGAATGTAAGTTGGTTCAGTCACTTAAAAAAACAATTTTTGCAATATCTATGGTCACACTCTATGAACTTGTAACAACACATCTACAGAAATAAGTGCTTGTACGATGAGTGCATCTGGACTTATGTACACTGCAGCACTGTGAATATCTCTAAATCAGAAACAACCCAAAATATCCATCTACAGTAGCATTAGTAAAAAAATTTTGGTAATGTTCCTACATTCGACTGCTATACAGCAATAAAAATCAACCACCATGCAAAAAGGATGAATCTTACAAACATAATAATGAATCAAAAGTCATTCATCACAGAATATGTACTGTATGATTCCATTAAGCTAACATTGAAGATATTAAACATCATTTATGGAACTGCAGTTAGGTAGTAAATGCCTAAAACTAGTGATACTAGTTACCACTAGGGAAAAGGGAGGTAGTTACAATGAGGAAACAAAGCAGAGGACTTTCAAGGTGCTGATAACGTCCTATTTCTTGATCAGTGTGGTGATTAAACAGGTGTTTGGTAAGCTTCACATTTATGTTTTCTGCATATTTTGAGGTCTGTTATTTTTCTCAATATAAAACATACTCACATGGAAATGTGTCCACAAATACTACTGAATGGAAAGTGAAGTTACTCAGTCGTGTCTGACTCTTTGCGACCCCATGGACCATGACCTACCAGGCTCTTCCGTCCATGGGATTTTCCAGGCAAGAGTACTGGAGTGGGTTGCCATTTCCTTCTCCAGGGCATCTTCCCGACCCAGGGATCGAAACCGGGTCTCCCGCATTGCAGGCAGACGCTTTAACCTCTGAGTCACCAGGGAAGCCAACTAAAGAACAATATGTAGAGTATGAGTCAATCTAAAAACTGTGTGTGTGTGTGTGTACAATTTATTCATTCGTATATTTATATGTCTAAAAACCTGAGGAGAAAAAGAGGCTTTCTTTACCTTACACACCTCTGTGTACCGCTTACATTGTCTACATTCCACACTGATTACTCTGATGTCACTTCTTAAAGAAGCAGTGAAGAGAGAACTCAACATGACATCTTCTGAAACGGTTAACAGTCATGTCACCCGTGGTCAAGGCGGAAGCAGCGTAACATTTTAGTTTATTTTCTTGCTTAGTACGTAAAAGTGAATGTTAAAAAAAAAAAAGCAATAATTAGCTCTGAATACTATTGTCGCTTGCATGGGACTTTTCTGAAAACAAAAATTCTCCAGAGAGGAAATTTTCAAAGCTCTCTGATACTTACCAACCAGTTGCACCCTCCCTGAAGACAAAAGCATTGGATCATCCTTTCTGACATTATTTATTGAGTCATCTACTAGCTCTTTAATGTGGTCAATTCCTATGACTTTTCCACTAGGTCCAACCTAGAAGTGAGAATAATTCGATGGTCTTAATTAGTTTTTCTAAGGTGTCAATAAAATATTTCTTTATCCAAAGTCATTTTCAGCAATGAGAAATCAGGACAAATAAACAGTTTAAGCCTCTAATTTGATTGTTAAACACTCAGTTTATTATACATTATTTGGCAAATACAACTTTCTCAGCCATAACCCTAAGTGAATGATGATATTTCGGTAATTACAAAACTAGAATTATAAAAATGTATAATACTAAGAAAAATGGTATCTTTCTTCCTTCATTTTTTTCAGACCCAGAACCCTGAAATGGGACTTAGCTACCAATATTAAATGGTAGTTATTAGTGCAACCATTTTTTATTTAAATTCCATTGAAAAGTGTGACTTTAAACATAAAACAGATACATAAAAATTTTATAGGAATTTCTATACTGATTCTGCTGCCACATATGGGAAATATAAAAATACATAAAAATATCAAAAGACCCTAAATATAAATATTAACTGTAGAACAAAATTAACACAATAAAGACTCTGAAGTCAGACTATCTGGGTTTACATCTAAGTTTCTTACTTACAATTATATAACCTTGACAAGTTATTCTATCAATCAGGTTCCTCAGCTGTAAAGTGAGGAGGAAGTGGGTACATACCCCATAAATGACATGAGGAACTAATAAGAGAATACATGAAAAGCATCGTGAACACTGACCAGCACATGGTAAACGTATGAAAAACATTAATTAGTATCATTTTCAAAAAGATAACTCAGAAATAAAATGACTTTTTAAAAAATGATAATGCCTCTGAAACCATAAACAGTCAAGTGTAGAGAACAAGTCATCAATTAAACACCATTTCTAGTATTTAATTACATCCCATTCAGTTCAGTTCAGTTCAGTCACTCAGTCATGTCCGACTCTTTGTGACCCCATGAATTGCAGCACGCCAGGCCTCCCTGTCCATCACCAACTCCCAGAGTTTACTCAAACTCATGTCCATCGAGTCGGTGATGCCATCCAGCCCATTACTGAGGGTTAAATTTATACAAAACAAGTCAAACAACTGAAAAGGAATATCTGAATCCTTATTGTGTGCCTGGCACTGTTCTGGAGGCTTAGGATACATCAATGAAAAAAACTCAGACAAAATTCCCACCACTCTGGAGGTTACATTCTAACAGCCTGTCAATTATATATTCATAGCAAATTAAATGGATTCTAGTCAAAAAGGATTCATAAATCCTAACTTAACTAGACCATAACCTTCCAAGCAGGCCTCCAGGTATAGATTTTTCATAATCAAGCTGACTTGATTATCTGAGCACAGATAAACTTTTACTCCAAGGTGCCTGAGTGGGCCTCCAGACTTAAACTCAGAACAGGCATTATCGGGTAAGTCTCTGATGATGAAATTTGCAGTATAATAAAATAAAATAAAAATGCAGTCATTTTTCTTAATGTAAAAAGAGCTCTCCTTCAAACCTAATAAACCTATTATTTGGATATCAGGCTGTCTTTGGTTCTGCCAGATGAGAACTTACAAGAATGAAATTTGGGAGCTCTTGGTTGCCACTGTGTGATCACAAGAGAAAAGCGTACCGGAGAATGCAGAGAACTTGTGGAGGAGAGCCAAGTCAAACCAAGAACCAGAGAGAAACTCACTGTCCATAACAACTTGAGGTCTTTCTCTGAATCCAGCCATACAAGAAGCCAGAGAGACCTCTAGACTCTTCCATGATATAACCAAATAATTCCCTTCTAGTTCTGCCAGAGTTCAACTGAATGTTCTGTCACCCTCACAACAAAAAGAAATCCTAGGTGACATATATTCTAACTGCTATCTTAACAGAATTTAAAAAGAAAGAAAACCTTCAAAAACTGCTAGTGAAAAAGATACACAGCCAAATCACGTAATATGCTTCTGTTGGGGCCAGAATAGTAAATAAAGCTCTTACCATACGTGCAAAACATGCAGTAAGGATTCCACTTCCAGATCCTACATCAAGGGCTTTAGCTCCTTCATGCAACTGATCAAAAAGAAGTTCTAGTGCATATGCATGCTGCCAAAAGAAAACAAAGCAAGTATTCATTTTTATTCCCAAGATTCTATAAATATATATATAATGGCATATGAATAAAGCTGCTAACTTCTCAACAATTTTTCCACTACTGTCATCTACCAAAACAATGAAAACATATTACATACTTATACCTACAGAGGAATTATGCAAGAACATTCTAGTTTGATTAAAATTCTTATGTTTAAAGTGTTTCAGTAATTTTAGATCTCCAGTATATGAATATTTAAAATTTAACTAATTCAAAGTAAAAAGTTACAAAAAGAACAAATATGCCTAATGAGAGATACTTAAGTTAGCTTCAATCTTCCATAACAAATAGATAACCTTAAAAGGTATTAATATACCATAAGATAATATACTATAATAATCTTTTTAGTAATCTTGTAAAGTATATCCATAGGATAAATAGCTAGAGGTGGAAGTAAGGGGGCCAAAGGATACATATTTTTATGTTTACAGTGTAAATTACATATCAAATAAAGTCACTGGTTAACGTTTGGACCAAACCAAGAAATAAAGACTTCTCTATTCCATCCTCTTTATGAACTTACATTTTAGTACTTTTCCAAAATGTGAGGTTAGAATTAATAAATGGTATCTCAAAAGCTGTCCTTAAATGCCTAGTATGTTCACTACTAAAAATCATCAGATCCAGTAGCAATAAGCACAGTCACTATCAGATAAAAATATACATCCATGAATCCATAGTGACAGTAAGTAAATATATCCCTCAACACATACATAAATGGAGGATAGGGAGAAACTGTTCCCAAATGTTCCAAATACAGATGAAATAATGAACTTAGAAAACTGCCATTTGGCAACAAGTTCAGTAATAACTGATTTAAGTCAAAAATCACAAATGGATGCTGAAACTGGTATATTATCACTTGATAAGGAAACACTCTCAAAGTGTTTGCCCAAGACACATTAATTATAAAAGGGAAAAATAATAACTTTACAATGGAGTTCAGAAGTTTCTTAGTGGAAAAACTTGACTGACACTACCTCAATCAGATGATTAAAGTTACTATCACCAAAAATGGGACACTCTGACATTACACAACATCTGCAATATTCCAGGCAAAAATGCATTACTCATATCTAATCAAGAAGAAAAATCAGACCAACCTAAATTGAGAGGAAATCTATAAAATAACTGGCCTGTATTCATAAATATTTTCAAGACTATAAAAGAAAAAAACTAAGGCACTGTTCCAGATTTAAAAGACATGGCAATTGAATGAAACTCCTGATCTGAAACTTTCTTTTTCTATAAAGGACATTACTAGAACAACTGACAACATCTTAATGAGGTCTGTAAAGTAGCTAACAGTGTTGTATCAATGTTAATTTCCTGATTTTGACAACCATAGTATGGTTATTTAGGTGAACGTTCTATTTTTAAAGATAAAGAGCATTCTGTTTACAAATTACGCCTACAGAGTTCATAAAAATATATGTATATTTCTTTTATATATATGTGTGATATATATATATATATCTCTTCCTCCCCCCATATAAACAGGGGGAGGGAAAGAGAAGGAGAGAGAGAATAAATGATAAACCAAATGTAATACAATGATAACACTTGGGGAATATGGCTAAACAGTATCTGGGAATTATTTGTACTATTCTTAGAATATTTCTGTAAGTTTGAAATTATGTCAAAATTTAAAAAAAAATTTTTTTTTAAGTCATCAGATACAGGTTACCATTCAAAATGGAGGACAGAATGGAAACTCCCTAACTTACCTGATAAAAGCTAAAATACTGGTTACCTACAGGATGGAGGTTGACTGGGAAAAGAAGCCTTTCTGACTGAGGGAGTTTTCTGGAGCGCGGGAAATGACGTGGGTAGAGGTCACACATATGTAGACACGTAACATTCATCAAGTTGTACACTTAAGATGTGTGCACTTTGAAAAAATAAAAGTGAAGTCACTCAGTCGTGTCCAACTCTTTGCGACCCATGGACTGTAGGCTACTCTACCCGTGGAATATTCCATGCAAGGATATTGGAGTGGGTTGCCATTTCCTTCTCCAGGAGATTTTCTCGACCCAGTGATCGAATCCGGGTCTCCCACACTGCAAGCAGACTCTTTACTGTCTGAGCCACTTTTGGGTATACTGCAATTTAATAAAAAAAACTTTGAAAATACTATTTACTCCAATCACTAAAAGTGGGTGGTACAGACATTTATGTACCTCCTGATGTGATGAACAGAAGAACCATCAGGAAATTTTCTTGAAAAGAAGAAAAAAGGAAAGTTAAATACGGCTAAGAATCATTTAATCAAATTCAGAATATGGGAACTTCTATAGGATAAATGAACAAACTGTCAATAAATAGATGGTATTTTCAAAAGGGAGACTATTAAAATGAAAAGAGACTTAAAAAGACTAAAAAGGTGTAACATAAGGCTCTTGTCTGGATCCTGACTTAAGCAAATCAACTATGAAAGCTGGCAAAGTTTGAACATGGACTAGGTATAAGATAATACTAAGGAACATTGTTAGGCATGATGATATTGTAGTTGTGCTTTTAATCCTTCAGATTTATACTATTTAGGGGTAAAATGATATTATGTTTGGGATAGCTTTAACATATTTCAGTAAAAAAGAAATAACTTTATAAAATAAGATTAGCAAACTGTCAGTAATTAATGAAGCTGGGTGATTGGCTACATGAGGGTTCATTATATTATCCTATTTGCATGTGTGGTGTTGGAAATCTTCCATTTAAAAAATTTTTTAAAGACATTGAGGCTACCTTTTCCCACAATTAACACAAAAAGTGGAGAAGGCTATTAATAGATGCAGCCTCATATAATCTGAAGATTTTGAAACCGTGTTCCAGAAAGTAATTAAGGTTCGGCAGAACCTATTTAGGAGTAACACACAAATGTAGACTGGTGGGTACTGTGTCTGGGAAAAGAGTTACAGAAAACTAAATTTTTCCATTTTTCATATGGATTCTTTTGCAAACAGCTTCTTGCCTAATGAGTGAAAACCACTGGTACTATGAAAAAGAGTGCTGGATTAAATGTTCAAAGTATTGCTATAAAGGATATCATAGGAAGATGGCAGAGGAACAGGACGGGGAGACCACTTTCTCCCCTATAAATTCATCAAAAGAACAACTGAACGCAGAGCAAACTTCACAAAACAACTTCTGATCGCTAGCAGAGGACATCAGGCACCCAGAAAAGCAGCCCATTGTCTTCGAAAGGAGGTAGGACAAAATATAAAAGATAAAAAGAGAGACAAAGAGCTAGGGACGGAGACCTGTCCCAGGAAGGGAATCTTAATAGAGAAAGTTTCCAAACACCAGGAAACCCTCGCACTGGCGGGTCTGGGGGAAGTTTTCCAATCTCAGAGGGCAACCTAACCGGGAGGGAAAAATAAATAAAACCCACAGATTACGTGCCTAAAAGCAACTCCCAGGAGAAAAGTACCCCAGACACCCACATCCGCCACCAGCAAGTGGGGGCAGAACGGAGAGGGGCGGGCGGCATTGCTTAGGGTAAGGACCGAGCCTGAGTGCCATCGGAGGAAGCTTTTGTGAGATTCCAACTTAAACTGTGGGATAGCAAGAGAGAGAGAGAAAATTAGCCGGCCCGAACACACTGCCGGCCGTTCGCAGAACAAAGGGTCTGAACAAGTCCAGAGAAGAGCTAGCCGGCTGCGAACCGGCCCAGCCCCACCGGAGGCAGGAGGCAGGGGGGAGGGGAAAGGGGCAAACTCGGCCCCAGAGATGGCATCCCCTACCACACTGCAAACAGCCCTCCAGTTTCTAACCAAAGACTTCCTGAGATTCTGGATGGTCGACATCCGCCGGGAGGGTCGCAGCTAAACTCAAGGTGCATGTACCCAACCAGCGCGGGCGGAAACTGAGGCTGGGATCTTGGAGGGGAGAAGGCGCGCCGCACCCGGGGAGAGTGCGCCGTCAAGCTCCTGGCTGCCTGAGCTGCTCGGGTCGAGGAAGGCACAAAATGTAGGCGCAGCGGAGTCCGCGCTTTTGTGGAGTACCCGAAAACTGGAACCGCACGCAACGCAGGGCCCGCTCCATATAGAGCAGCTGGGAGCCTGAGCAGTGTAGACGGGGAGAGCAGTTCCCCTCCCTCCCCGCAGCACGATGGAACTAGCGAACCTGAACAAGAGACCACCTCCGCCCGCCTGTGTCAGGGCGGAAATTAGGCACTGAAGAGACCGGCAAACAGAAGCCAAATAAACAAAGGGAACCGCTTCAGAAGGGACCGGTGCAACAGATTAAAATCCCTGTAGATAACACCGACTACACCTATAGGGGCCTATAGATATCGAGAAGTGTAAGCTGGAACGAGGAGCTATTTGAAACTGAACCGAGCCCACACTGACCACAACAGCTCCAGAGAAATTCCTAGATATATTTTTATTTTTTTCTTTTCTTTTTTTTTTCTCTTTTATTTTCTTTTAAAATTCCCTATTACTCCCCCACTACTCCTTAACTTTCATTTTCATATATGTTTACAATTTTTTTAATTAGGAAAAAAATTTTTTTTTCTTTTTTTTTCTTTTTCTCTTATTTTCTTTTAAAGTCCTCTATTACTCCTCTACTACTCCTTAATTTTCATTTTCATTTCACTATAACCTTGCCAAAAAAAAGAGAAACCCTATTTTTAAACCGAACTTCATATATATCTCTAAAATTTTTGTTTTTCTTTTTAACACTGTATCTTTAAGAGTCTAACCTCTACTCTAGATTTTTAATTTTTGTTTTTCAGTATGTGATATAAATTGTGGACATTTAAGAATCCAATATTCAGTACCCATTTTTACTCAGGAGTGTGTTGATTACTCTCTCCCACTTTTGACTCTCCGTTTTCTACCTTAGAACACCTCTATTTCCTCCTTTCCCCTTCTCTTCCCAATCCAGTTCTGTGAATCTCTGTGGGTGTCTGGGCTACGGAGAACACTTTGGGAACAGATAACTGCGTAGATCTGTCTCTCTCCTCTTGAGTCCCCCTTTTTCTCTTCCTGCTCATCTCTATCTCCCTCCTCCCTCTCCTCTTCTTCATGTAACTCTGTGACCCTCTCTGGGTGTCCCTCACGGGGGAGAATCTTCTCACCATTAACCTAGAAGTTTTATTATCAGTGCTGTATAGTTGGAGAAGTCTTGTGACTACTGGAAGAATAAAACTGAAATCCAGAGGCAGGAGACTTAAGCCCAAAACCTGAGAACACCAGAAAAACTCCTGAATACACGGAACATTAAGTAATAAGAGACCATCCAAAAGCCTCCATACCTATACTGAAACCAACCACCACCCAAGAGCCAGGATATTTCAGAGCAAGACATACCATGCAAATTCTCCAGCAACGCAGGAACACAGCCCTGAGCATCAACATACAGGCTGCCCAAAGTCACACCTAACACATAGACCCATCTCAAAACTCATTACTGAGCACTCCATTGCACTCCAGAGAGAAGAAATCCAGTTCCACGCACCAGAACACCAATGCAAGGTTCCCTAACCAGGAAACCTTGACAAGCCAATCGTTCACCCACTGGGTGAAACCTCCACAATAAAAAGGAACCACAGACTTCCAGAATACAGAAAGCCCACTCCAGACACAGCAATCTAAACAAGATGAAAAGGCAGAGAAATACCCAACAGGTAAAGGAACATGAAAAATGCCCACCAAGTCAAACAAAAGAGGAGATAGGGAATCTACCTGAAAAAGAATTTAGAATAATGATAATAAAAATGATCCAAAATCTTGAAAACAAAATGGAGTTACAGATAAATAGCCTGGAGACAAAGATTGAGAAGATGCAAGAAATGTTTAATAAAGACCTAGGAGAAATAAAAAAGAGTCAATTAAAAATGAATAATGCAATAAATGAGATAAAAAACACTCTGGAGGGAACCAAGAGTAGAATAATGGAGACAGAAGATAGGATAAGTGAGTTAGAAGATAAAATGGTGGAAATAAATGAAGCAGAGAAGAAAAAAGAAAAAAGAATTAAAAGAAATGAGGACAACCTCAGGAACCTCTGGGACAATGTGAAACGCCCCAACATTCGAATCATAGGAGTCCCAGAAGAAGAAGACAAAAAGAAAGGCCATGAGAAAATACTCAAGGAGATAATAGCTGAAAACTTCCCTAAAATGGGGAAGGAAATAGCCACCCAAGTCCAAGAAACCCAGAGAGTCCCAAACAGGATAAACACAAGGCGAAACACCCCAAGGATATCATAGGGACAACTGGAAAAATGTAAAAGGAGCTTGAGGATTAAATGGTAGTAATGTGTCAATATTCATGTCCTGGTTTTGATGGCTATATTGTGGTTGTATCAGAGAATGTCCTTTATAGGAAATATACTACCATACTGAAGTATTCAAGAGTGATGGAGCATCATTTCAGGAACATATGCTCAAATGGAGTAAAGAAAGAAAGGTTCTTGATAATATACTTGCAACTCTGTAAGTTTGAGATTGTTTCAAAAATTTCAAAAACCCCTCACTAACCTTATCTTTCTTTGATGTTACAAAAAGATAGAGTGGGATACTATCTTTGAATTATCATTATGCACATCAACAGGTGGAACAAGGAAGTGTTAATTAATGAGGTTTCTATGAGACACACTGGTTTAACTTTTACTGAAGAAACTACTAGAAACATTTTATTTGGTCAAAGCTATTGTTCTTAGGCAAGAGGCAAGAAGAATGGAATCTCTAAGAGAAAGTTTGTGAACTTTCTTCAGGAAGGTCTGTAACTTTTATCAGATATTTTGAAACAATCAGTATCCCCTGCAAGTTTAACAAACCCATTAATAATATAACAAGTATCATATTTGGCTGAAGTAATTAAAGAAACAAAATAACTCCTGTAACAGCTGGACTTTCCTGAGTTCAAAAATGAAAGGACTAGAAAGGATTTAAGGTGCCAATCCCTATTTTATAGGCTGTACTGTCCCACCTTAACACCAAAAGAAATCCAGGAATTTTTTTTCAGTACTAGGTTTGTATAAAATTTTTTTTTTTTAAAGGATAGTATGCTAAGCTACTACTAAAATCCTGTTCAGATTTAAAATGTCAAGGTCTTCAATCGCAATTACCAGCTTTTTTCATGCTTTTATCACTATAGTTAATATTCTTTTGGATAATCCATGCTCATCTCTAAAATTTAAGCTTTTTAAAAAACTTGTTTTTGATAATTATGAAAAATTTCAAGCCCACAGAAAAATTTCAAACCCATAGGAAATACACATAACACCCCTTTCTCCTCATATAATCATCAACTGTTTCTATTGTGCCATACTATTTTATCAAACCATCTGAAAATACGCTGTGGACATCATAATACTACACTTCTAAATACATTAGCATGTATGTACCTGCCAAAAAAAGCAAACTAGGACATTTTCCTTTGCAACCACATCTCCATTACCACATTCAAGAAAATCATGTTTAGTATCAGCACCTGAGGGAAGTCTGCAGCTGATGGTTTCAAAAACAGCTGGACATGACTTAGACACTGAACAACAACAAAGTATCAACAGACACACCACATTCAAGTTTCCGCAATTGTCCCCCAAATCTCCTTTACAGTTGTTCCCTCCAATCCATTCAAAGTTCATGTTTTGCAACTGCCAATTCCAGAATATTCTTCCCCATTCTTCTGTTCTATCCACCACTTTTCTTTGTCTATCAGAGCACTGACTCCTTTTAAAAGCCCTGCCCAACTGTCCAACATCCTACCCACACATTCTAGATGTGTCAATTTCCACATCATTAAATTTAGATCAAAAAACTTTAGCAAGACCACCACACAGGGCTTGCAGAGCACCTCCCACTGCATCACATCAGGATGCACACAACATTGAGCCATCTCACTACTGGACTTGCTTAGCTGAACTACTCAGTAAATGTAGTAACCGTTAGATCACTCTATTTTTCAGGGCATAGCTATCTCTTTGTAATATGTCAAATAATAATTTGAGACTACAAGGATGTTTTTTGTTCCCTAACAACTTTCCTCTTAATGGTTTAGATTAATTGATGATCTTTGTCTAATTCAACAACTACACTGATAATTACAAAGAACTGATTTTTAAAATTCTATTATTCTTTCCACATTCATTAATTGGCGTTCTGTTTTTCATCTTTTCCATCTTGCTATTTTTTCTTTTTTTGTTTTGGTCTCTATGGACTCACAGATTTTTGTTTCTGAATTCACTGTGTTACAATCCATTGTCTTCATTATCTACCATTTTTTGATTCTCAAATTGTCTCCAATTTGGCTTCTGGGAGTCTCTTTAAATCTGCTCCCATGTCGTCCTGATAATACCCCAGTAGACTTTAATTACTTCTTCACTTTCTGAAATTTAGTCACTTCTCCATGAAGCTCGAGTATTTCTCTTAGTGGTATTTGGGATTCAATGTCTGGATACTAAATATGCTCATTGCTACCAGGACATCATTTCATATTTTTCTGTAATTAAGACTTTGGAAAATATTCCAGAAATGCAGTTACTTTCAAACCTATGACTTTGAGGTTCATTAAATGCAGATATAGAAATAGTGAATAAGCACATGAAAAGATGCTCATCATTATTATTAGGGAAATGCAAATTAAAACCACAATGAGATACCACTTCATAGCTACTAGGATGGATAAAATAAAACATACAATAACAAGTGTTGAAAAGAAGTGGAGAAATTAGAACCCTCATACATTGTTAGTGGGACTATAAAATGATGCAGCCACTTTGGAAGACAGTTTGGCAGTTCCTCAAAATGTTAAACATAAAAATGTCAAACATAAAAATGTCATTTGTTGTTTAGTTGCTAAGTCTTGTCCAACTCTTTTGCGACCCCATAGACTGTAGCCTGCCTCTGTCCACGGGAATTCCCAGGCAAGAATACTGGAGTTGGTTTCCATTTCCTTCTCCAGCAGATGTTTCCAACTTAGGGATCAAATCCGTGTCTCTTGCACTGGCAGGCGGGTTCTTTACCACTGAGCCACTAAGGAAGTCCATGGCCATTATATTTCTATATTTTTAAAATATTCTTTCCCTTAATTAACTCATCACTAAATAACTACTTTTTATATCCACTTTTTACATGATTAGATATTAATGACAACCACCAAAAACTTTAATGACAGTTTCTACCAGAAAGAGTTCCTTCTACACATCTTGTATTAAGAGTAATTAATTCATTACAAATAAAATAATAAAACTGATTATGATTAGAAGTTTAAAATGTTCTTATAACCGTTTTTACTGAAGAAAGCACTCTGAAGAGGAAATACATGCTCCATTTGTACCCAAATGACCGATGTTAACTTACCATGTGTGGAGCACTGATTGTTGCTTGGAATCCTGCAAAAGAAGAAGAGAACTACTGATACATTCAGCTGCAAAAACACACGAAACGCTCCATGTCAGTCCTTTTCTAGCATCCGTACATTGTTTTTCATAATAATTATTTTCATGTTTATGATCTCAAGAAATAGAAGTATTTTGCACTTGAAAGTACTGTCATGCACAGTTAAAATTAGAAAATATAATCATGCCAAAGGCTATTTGTGCTCAGTACAACAGTCCCACTATTTCTAAAAATTTCTTCCCCCACGTAGTTAGTTAAGGAAGAATTTCATTGACTTGATAAATCTATGATGTTTTCCCCTTCAGTTTCACAAAAATAAGCTTCCATATATCATAAAATATGCAAAATACTGCAAATTAACTTATTTCATATTTTTGGCACCTTAAAAAAAAACTGGAACTAGCAACCAGAGGAACTTGAGACTAATAAAGTACTTCCATTTACTCTTTACACTATCACCTAATGTTAATTAAAACAATCTTTTTTTAGTTTTAGCTTTTAGTTTTCTCCAGTGTTGTTTTCTCAAGACTTATTTACCTGCTTCTGCATCTGAAGCAATTTTCACTGAGCGGTGGTAGCAGGTGCCTTCGGGGTTCAGAAGCTCCCCAGGATCTTCTCTGCTGACCGTTAAAGTACTTCCAAAAGAAGGCAGCATGGCAGCTGGCCGACAGAATCCTGAGGCACTCCTAAGCCTCAAAGGCGCCCACTGCCAAGGCTCAGCAGTTCAGCAAAGCCTGCTTCAGGAGAAGGAGTTAAATATGGCACTTTCTAAAAACAAGCACAAACCAGAAAACTCAGGGCAAGTGAAGCAGAGAAGTCAGTAATAACTTAGCTACACATTCCCTTCAATACCGATTTTAGAATTTTCTGCTACTGCAAAAAACAATCTTTGTCAATATTAGAGACCCTAAAGAGAATTCAGCAAGCAGCTTAAACTCTAAGCTTTCATCTAAAGAGCACTTTAAGGAAATGTTTATAGAATTCTTACATATATCCTTAAAGAAAATAGAAACTGTAAGTTTTCATCTAAAGGACGCTTTAAGAAATTGTTTATAAAATTCTTACATATCTCCGTTAAGAAAATAGAAAAGACACTTCATAAACAACACTTTATTAAAATGAATGAGCAAGGTAAAAAATGGGAAATGGTCTATTTTTACTTACAAAGATTAGAGAGCAAATGAGTAAAATTTGTGACATTTTCAAAAATCCAAAACTTACCTATTGATTGTGGAGAATCCATATAAGGGTTACATTTTGCATAGTGGGAGCGGTCTGTGGCCAGCATTACTTCAAACACTTTATCTGTCTTGATGATTCCATTTTCTGAAATGAATGAAGCAATACTTTAAGTCGGGAGTAGCATGATCAGATGTAGTTAGTTTAGCATAATTACTCTGGCCACACTGCAGAGACCAGACTGGAAGAGAGCAAACTTGCTGCGATGGCTCAGGTGACCACAGTCTGGTCTTTAATAACGAAAGTAAGGACGAAGAAAAGAAGGACTTGAGTTATATTTAGTAGGTAATGTATACTTGACTGACTAGCTTTGAAGGTGGGAGGTGTCATATACTGGTCTGAGAAATCCTAGAGAAGCATCATAGCTAAGGAGAAAAAGGAAAGCTATGTATTTAGGAGGAGGGATGGACCATACCCATGGAGATACACAGCAGCCAGTTGGACAAACAGATCTGGGGCTCAGGAGAAAAATCTAGATTAGAGCTATAAATGACTAGCTGTACAGATGGCAACCGAAGCAAGGGAAGTGAAGGAAAGTGGCCAGGGGAAAAAGTACACAAAGAAGAAAAACAAAAGTGTCCGTTTAAGAGAAATGCAAAAGGACTGAAGCCTTCAAAGTTATGATGCGGAGCAGCCACAGAGGCAGAAGAAAATCAAGCAGACATACTGTTACAGGGACTAAGAGAAATAAGTTTTTCCAAAAGGAAGGCAAGACCATATGACATAAATGATTCTTGAAAACATTATAGAAGTGAAGAACTCAGGAGCAAAGATGGCATACTGTATGATTCTATTTAATGAAATGTCCAGAACAGAAAGAAAGTAGACTAGTGGTTGCTTATGGTTAGGAGAATAGGAGGGCAAAACAGGGTATCTTTCTGAGGTGATGAAAATATTAAACTGGCCATGGTAATGGTTGCGCATAGCTGTAAATACACTAAAAGTCACCAGCTTTTACCGTCTGAATTAGAGAATTATTTTTAAAATTTAGTGAGGCCAGAAATGGCAACCATAAGAAGTACTGCTTCTGAGAGAGAACCATACAGGCAGGGAAAAGATGACAGCGCGTGATACGGCAATGAAGGGAAAGAAGGAAGAAAGTGAAGGATCCTACAGAAACAGAAGAGCAACAAGACACAGCGATCCTCCCCCTTTCTCACCACTATTACCAATATCATTACCCATTAAAGAAACTGCAAGTGCTCTTGGACTGTGTGCATAAAATGCCTAAAAATAGGAAAAAATAACTCCAGTCAAAGCTACTGTAAAAACAAGACAACATGCAAACAAAATATTTCAGCTGCTTAAACATACCAATACTGTATTCTAAGAAAACTTAACAGAAAGTAAATATTACCAGAAACATCAACATCCAAGACATCTATCTACTAACACAATTATCAGGAAATTCCCTGGCGGCCAAGTGGTTAGGACTCAAGTGTTTTTACTGCAGGGCATCTGGGTTCAACCCCTGGTCTGGGAACTAAGATCCCACAAGCCGCATGGCACAGCCAAAAAAAAAAAAAAAAAGAGAGAGAGAGAGAGAGAAAAAGAAAATACTATCAGACTTTAACACAAGAAAAAGAAATTTCAACTCTCAAGGCAAAAAAAATCAAATTACCTAGGAAGAGTTAAAAAAAAAAAAGGCAACCATTAGCTTTCTTAAGAGCAACATTCAAAGCAAAACAAGAATGAAGCAGCAGCATTTTCAAGAAATTCAAGGAAAGGATGTGCAAGTTAATAACTAAAAGGAGGAAACTGTAAATGTACCCAACAACATGAACAAATCTCAAGAGCACTAACCTCAGTGAAAGAAGTCAGGCAAGGAGATTTTACCCTATGTGATTCCATCTATTAATATACTGAATTCCAGAAAAGTCAAAAACACAGAGGCTGACTTGATCTGGGGTTGCTAGGGGTTGGGGGGTGAAAGGAGGAGATTAACTGCAAAAGGGCATGAGAAAATTCTGTAGGTGAAAGAAATGGTCTGTATCAGAGAGCGGCATACTTCTGTTAAGATCCGAACGGCAAATATCTTAGGCTTTGCAGGCCATATAGTCTCTGCTGCAACTACTTGACTCTGCCACTGAAGTGCAAGAACAGCCACACAACAGACATAAACGAATGGGCGCGGCTGTACTCAAATAAAACTTGATTTCTAAAACCAGGCAGCAGGCCACATTTGGCCTGTGGGCTGTAGTTTGCTCACTCCTGTTTTATATCATTAGGGTGGTGGTTATACACACTGTATTTGTCAAAATTTTCAAATCGTGGTCTTAAAATTGGTGCTGCTGCTGCTAAGTTGGTCAGTCGTGTCCGACTCTGTGCGATCCCACAGACGGCAGCCCACCAGGCTCCTCTGTCCGTGGAATTCTCCAGGCAAGAACACTGGAGTGGGTGAATTTTTCCATAAATTATGTCTCAATAAAGCTGACTTTTTAAAACTGCAGCCAAAACTGTTCTTCGAATTATCAAGGTTATAGGAAAAAAGTCTTAAATGTGCAAGAACTCAGGGAATGCTAAATACACATGTCCTTCCTAAGAAATAATGAAGTGATTACCAGGGATACCTCAGAAAAGTACATATGTCCAATTGTAGAGAAAGGTTAAAATTAAAAGGGTGGACTGGCCTGCCTCCAGAAGGATCCTGTCAAATCGGTTTAGCCAGAACACCCGTTACCCCTGATGTAATTTTCCACCCACTGATCCCCTCCCTCCTGGACTATAAATCCCCACTCACTCACGCTGTATTGATAACTAAGACCGGTTTTACACCGATGGCTCTTTTCCCCTATTCCAATTGTTACTGACTAACATCTGGTTTTAGTTTTTGGTTTTTTTTTAAAGGAAGACTAAAAGGGTAAAGACACTAGTGGAGGACTTCCCTGGTGGCACAGTGTTGGGAGCCCACCTGCCAGTGCAGGGCACGTGGGTTTGATCCCTGTTCCAGGAGGATTCCACATGCCCCAGAGCGACTAAGCTCACGGGCCACAGCGGCTGAGCCTGTGGCTCTAGAGCCCAGGAACTGCAACTCCTGAGTCCACATGCCGCAGCTACTGAAGCCTGCACACCCCAGAGCCCGCGCTCCACAAGAGAAGCCACTGCAACGAGAGGAGCCCCTGCGCACCGCAACTAGAGAAAAGCCTGCACAGCAACGAAGGCCCAGCACAGCCAAAAACAAATAAATTATCATTTTTTTAAAGACCAGAAAGTAAAAAAGACCAAAAGCTGTTTGAAAAAAATCAAAGAGAAGCCGCCACAATGAGAAACCCGTGCACTGCAATGAACAGCAGTGCCCACTCACTGCAACCAGGGAAAGCCCTCACAAAGCAACGAAGGCCCAGCACAGCAATGCATTTTTAAAAAAGACACTAGTGGGATAATAATGCTTATGTTGTATGTTCTGACAAAGTAGAAACAATGCAACTAAAAACAACAGGAAAAGGAAAAAAAGGGAAAAGCAGAATTAGATCATTGACTGTTTTGAGGAATCAAAGGATACCACTTAATACTGACTGACCAGACAGTATTAGAAAGAAATAGCAACATAAGAAATACTAAGCATAAGAAAAGGTAGTTTAAGGACACTATAAAATGTATAAATACACACTGTCCAAATAACAAAAGAATGTTTTAAAAACTAGCAAATAAGGCATACCAACTAGAGAAACACTTAAAATAGTCATAGACTGGTAAAGATACAAATCATTTTCCAACTAAAAATATTACAAATTTGGATTCATTAACCCAAATAGAAAGTACTGTTTCTACATAAATAAGCTCAGGCAAGCCACCTGTAAAGGCTACTGAAACAGTTAAAGCATTTTTTAAAAAGTTTTAAAAGCAGAGTAGTAAAAAGAGAGGTATCATTTACTCAATATTTACCACAGGCCAGACAAAACTTTAAGCACATTACACACTCTATCTCTTTTGAGATATGAACTTAGGAACTATGTAGCAATCTTAACGTTATATCTAACAATCCTATAAAGTAAGCACCATTACTACTCCATCTTACAGATAGTAAGACTGAGCACCGAAAAACTAAGTTGTTCCGGGTCACAGAGCAAATGAGGGGTAGGGCCATTGAAACTGAGATGTCAGATTCCTGTTGACCACTTCACTGTACCGCTACTACCATATTCAAATAGCTTAGTGACTTACACTAATTCACAGATTCTCAAGGTCATAAGGGTCATCAAGTCTAACGTCTTCATAAATTGGTACCATGATCTCTACTTGAAGAGCTGCACAATGTGAAACAGCCATTTCGCATTTAGACTACATTATCAGAATTGTGTGAACTGTGCAAGTTGCTCAGTCATGCCCAACAGACTATACAGTAGACCTCATAGACTATACAGTCCATGGAATTCTCCAGGCCAGAATATTGGAGTGGGTTGCCTTTCCCTTCACCAGGGGATCTTCCCAACCCAGGGATCAAACCCAGGTCTCCTGCATTGCAGGCAGATTCTTAACCAGCTGAGCCACAAGGGAAGCCCAATTATCAGAATACTTCCCTATATTAAGAGAAAATCTCCTTCTTTATAACTCACTTACATAAACCCTTAATGCTACTCTCTAAAGTCACATAGAATATACTGAACTTTCTATCCAGACAATACTTTTTACACATTTAAACAAATCATGATCATTTCAGCTTTTATCTTTCTCAGGTTAAGCAGCCTCACTCAACACTTCCAATTACCATTATATTCACACATTCTTCTCTAAATGAACATTTGTGATACATAAAATCAAACACATTGCTGCCAGCACATTCTAAAAATCAAGTATATTGAAGAGATTACTTCCCTTAAGCTAGATAACATACATCTGTCAAACTTACCTGAGTTTCTTTGGTAGGTTTCTTAATCTATAGAGATATATAGAATTCACACACACACCAAAAAACTAACAGGTTTTAAAAGTATGTCACCAGTCATTTATTAAGAAGCTAAACACATAAGGCTCAGGATAAAGACTTCTTAGACTATGAGTAGGTGATTTCCAAAATTTCCACTACAAGGTTATTATTTGATTTTTCCCAGGATTCCATATTTTGAAAGATGCCTAAAGCAAGCTAT